GTTTGGGGGGGGGGGGGGGTGCGGCGGAGAGATCTGGAACAAGAGAGATGATTTCAGCTTTTTTTTTTTTAATTTTATTTTAAGTTTGATTCCTTCTATCCGGTATAATACCAAACCCAGTATAAATAATACGGTCATTAGTCCGATACTGCACCAAACGCCCGACTAATTTAGTCAGTACTATCCGATGGCTATTTATCCTATCCGACAGAAATAGTCAGTACAGTCCGAGCTGCCAAACGAGACCAAGTGTAATCGAAAGTTTATCGGAATTTCAGTACGCACACGTTTCATATAGCTTTCTCTCCCAAGTAACAACACAGCACCCCATTTGATCATCAAATTTGCTAATCTTGGATGGGTTTGGTTCCAAAATATCACAAGTCTGAGTCATCATGAGACAAGCACAATCCCAATACAGAAAATATATTCTTTTGTCCGTTTGTCCCCACACTCTAATTTACATAGTCTAATATTCTACTGTCTATATATGTGCAAGAAGATTCTTGCTATATGCTTTCCAAATTCGATTTGAGTTTGATTATTATGTTTTTTTTCTTTTCTTTTTGTTAGAAAGAGTAACTTAATTTGCATTAAATTTACCTAAATTTTAAAGAGATATTTAAATTTAAATGCAGATTTACATTTAGAAACATATTGTTAATACAATAATTTTTATAAAAAAATTAACTATTATTTTAATACTATTTAATTACAATAAAATAGGGGTTAAGTCAGTTAATGTGTCTATTTCTATGTAGAAGTTGGAATTTCGCTTCTAGTAAACCAAATTATATAAGTTTTTTCTTTAAATTCTTTATGGAGACGTAGAATTTGCGAGATGGTATAATGATGGGTGTTGTTATTCACAACCTATTTTTACCTCTCACGTCCCTATCAATTTTTAAGGATAAATATCAGTTTACTATCTTTAAGTTTCGTGGTTTTCAATATTTGGTACATGAAGGTTTTGTTTGTCCCAAAATCATACCTAAAGTGTTAATTTTGAGACAGTTTTATACATCCGTTAATCTGACTGTTAAATATTCCGTTAACTGATGACATGGCACCTATGTGAACAATGACTGGACGCCATGTGTCATTAAAGGGTCCACGTGGAAATTCAAAATTAAAAAAAAAAAAATTTGGTCTTCTTCTTCCTCCCTTATCCCTCAATTCTCTCCTCAAAACGAGTCCCAGATCCCGCAACGAGTCCAGAGCTGAGAACCCAGATATGCACCAACCCACCAAACTCTTGCTCCGATTCAACTCCCGCAAGGTGTGGATATATGCACCAACCCATCAAACCCCCACAGAACCCAGATCTTGCAATCGCCGGATTCGTTCGATTCAACTCTCAGCTTCAATCCACCATCGTTGACTGATTAATGACCATGGTTCGGACCAATTGAAGAACCAAGAGGAGATGAACGTGAGCCATGGGTCGGCTCACACAGTTGAAGATGTACCCACCACAGAGGGGGCCGGCCCGAACTCGCTCCGGGTCCAAATGAAGGATTTTCCTAGCATGCCTGGCACCCTGGGCAGCCTCGTCTTGCACTTCGCCCAGTTTTTCTTCTTCGCCGCCGCGCTCATCGTCGTAGCCACCACCTCTGACTTCCCCTCCGTCACCGCGTTTTGGTGGGTAGCCACCACAATTGAACCCATATCTTTTTTTCAGCTTATTTTTTTGTTAATTCTTTTAATTATGCTTAAATTTCAATCTGATAGCAATTGAGGTTTTTGAGGAGGGTTTGGTGGGTTGGTGCAGAGGAGACAATGGAGGGATAAGGGAGGAAGGGAAGGTCAGGGATCTGAAGAGCTCGGATCGGGTGTAGCGAAGGGAAGATTGGAGGGTGGCAACGGAGGATCGTACGGTGGAGAGGGCAGAGAGCTAGGCGTGTTGGAGGGAAGACAACTGGGCGAGGAGGTCGGAATGGTGGGAGAGGACCTCGGAGCGGAGAGAAGAGAGGGTACGGGTTGCAGAAGGGAGGGGGTTGGGGGAGGTAGGAGACAGACGGGTGGGTTTTGTTTTTGTTTTTGAATTTTTAATTCCCACGTGGACCTTAATGACATGTGGCGCGTAGTCATAGTCTACATGGGTGTCACGTCATCAGTTAACGGAAGACTTAACAGTCAGACTAACGGATGTATGAGACTGTCCCAAAATTAACAAGTTAGGTATGACTCTAGAACGAAAAAAACTTCATATACTAAATGTTGAAAACCATAAAACTTGAAGGTAATAAATTGATATTTATCCTAATTTTTAACCGTCGAATAAAATAAATTAAAAAAAATAAATAAAAATTAATAAGTATATGTGAGAGATTAAAATATGTATGAATAGTATTACCGTGAATCCCTGATACGGTAGCACATCACCGTCCACTTCACGGGCGTGAAAAAATTGGTCGAAGGAGATGAGATTACATGCAGAAGAGGGGACCTCTTTCTGAGACAAATTCTGAATACATTCCTTTCACTAGGGAGTAGGGAGCCCCTCCCTACGTGCTTAGCTAGACTCATTGAAAGCAATATATCACCATTTCCACTTGATTGAGTGGAGGACATGTCTGTTCCATATTCTTCACCCTTGAAGCAATATTTGACAAACAATTCAATTTAGTTGACTCATTGGCTAGTCACACTCTTAAGATAGAATGTTGGACCATCCAACACATGGGCTTGAACCAGCAATGCAGTCTATGCCGATTTGGTTTGGATGCTTGCGCTCTCTCTCTCTAACCTAAAGATATCTTCATTTAAGAAAAATCAGAATATCACAATTTCAGTAAGTTGTGATCCAACAATTGAAATTGTTCAATTCTTTTGATATTATGTCGAAGATTACTCCTGATGCTGAAGGAGCTAAATCTATATAACTCGTTTAGTCATTTGATTATCTACATTTTTGTTGATATGGTTGATGTTTTGCATGGATAACTCTTAAATATTGATGATCTAATATAGACGGTTACAATCGTTAAACTACATTATAAACTGCAATACTATGATTAATGAGTGCGTTTTTTCTTAAATAAGGACATCCTTACCCTAGAAAACATGTGGTTGGGTACATAATTTGGGTGCATTGCATGGGACTAGCAATTAATCTGCAGGTGAAGCATTAATCGACAATGAAGTGTTGCTTTTGTTGGAATGTGGGTGGCACCACCGCCAACCGCCACCAGATGTTAATGTCTCAATAGCCTCGTGCGGGTGGCTCGGTCCAGGGTCTCGTGGGTTTGCCGGCAGCCACGTGAAGCCCCCGCCACGACTGTGGTCTCAATGTTTTTGGTGCCATGAGAGAGAGTGAGACTGTGACTCGACCCCAGGAGGCAATTTTTCTACGCTGGTTTGTTGGAACTTTGTTTGCCACATATGTACCTACAAAAAGGACCGTACATGAATAATTTTAATTTTAATTTATTCATAATATATATTAATCCCCCCAAACATAACCAAAACAAACCACATGGGAACCAATTTTATGTACTAATATTAATATTATTTTGTTTGTTTGGTTTTGCATGGCAAATGGCACATTCCTCATCACTCATAAATTACAATATATTGACAAAAATAAAGTGATTAGATTACCCTAAGTTTTAACAACCAAAGACACGTCTCCTTTGTGCAATTAATTCCAGGAAGAAGCTGTCTGTATCCAACTGAATAGCATGATCTTGTGGCTTTAATTAGGAATTGGATTCTCTCCGAGGTAAACCATCGGATCCTCCGGACCCACTTACACGGATCATTGGATTTTAATCTAACGGCTACAAACAAAGGATCCTTCTAAAAGTTATAATAATTGGAGCCGTTGAATCAAAATTCAATGATTCAACGGCCCGTGTTATTGAGTTAGGAGGATCCCGAGGGTTTGCCTCGGAGAGCATCCAATTCCCTTTAATTAACTCATACTTAACCTATACTTGATGTTTCCTGTTTTACCAAAGTCAGAATTATTATTTTATAATCTTAAGAAAAATATGCCGTTGGTAATGCTACATAATTAATATTTGAAGGTATAATCTAATGATCTTCTGAGTCGGAAATGCAATACGATGTTATCCACTCTTTAGTTCACCATTTAAAAAATTATTATGCAATAGATAACTGAATTATAAATCAATTAAATGTTTGATTAATATTGTCAATGTTTCAGGTTAATTAAATAATATGATTTATTTATTTTATAAAAAAAAGTTAGTAGATGATTAAACGATTTTGAAGTTTGCTAGCTTTTTACAGAGCTAATAACTTTTTTCTTAGAGCCGAAAAAATTGAAATCAGAAAGTTACTTCCACATTAGGTTTGAGTCGTTTGACTTTAGGCTGTTACCTGAAAGGGAAGTGCAGGTCCCCGATCTGCCCGATCTGCCCGATCTGCTTTAGTGGTTATGGGAACCGGCAGAGAAAAACGTCCAGAGAGTTACTATTCTACAGTAATTTCAGCAACACATCAGAACGTCATTCTCCAAAAACGTCCGACTTCACGGGTGTCATGTGACTGAGAGTGTTTGAATTCCAAATCTTTGGAACAGAGTATGATTCTCTATTTCTCTCTCCTGCTATTTCCATTTAGCTCTCTTCTACTTCTCTCACATTTTTTTTTTTTTTTATTTTTATCTTTATAAAAAAAATTAATATAAAATATTAACGTAATTTAATTATAACCGTTCAAATAAAAAAGAAAAGAATGAGAGGGACTACGAGGGAATAACTTTTATCCTCTGTATTTGATCACGTGTGAAAAAGACGTGGCCTTGATGCGCGTGAGGATTGGGGATGTAAGATCTATCTCTGAATATAGTGTTGGGGGTTCAGAAATCAATGAGGGGCAAGTGGGTCGGCTAAAAGTGGAGCATTGATACGGACAATCTTAGCCAATGTTCCCTGCACTCCTTGTCCCATCCCCGCCCTTCACCGCCTTCTTGTCCCCCCATCCCTACCTAATTAGTCCCTCCACAATCCCATTCACTCCCTCCCTCACTCCGTATATATATTAAAGCAAGAAACCCAGACCCCTTGAACCCCAGACTCTCTCTCTATAACTCATAATTTATTGGTAATCTTTTGTTTGTTCTTGTTGGATTGGATTACATGATATGGAGCTTCAACTTGGTCTCGCTCTTCCAAGCACTCCTCCTCCTCCTTCTCCGCCAATCAAGGGCTTCGACTTGAACAGCTTTGTTTACGAAGCTAGGGTTTGTGGTAGTATTAATGACAACTACAAGAAACGCAGCTTTGCGCAAGCTTTTGATGATGGCGAGCACGACAAGACTAGTTCTACTACTAGTGCAACGGCCGTGCCTCGAACGCTGCCTTTGTTGCTTTGGAACAAGCAATCTAACAACGACGGTGACGAGGAGGAGGACGACAACAACCCTAATAAACGCCAACACTGCAACTCCCACTTTACCGTTGTCATCAAGTAATAATCTATATCTCTTTCTTCAATGTCAGCTTCTCTCTCTAATTCAAAGTTTTCATCTTTACAAAATGATATATATTTTAAATAACTTTAATTTAAAAATTAAAAATTCGAGCTTTAAGTGTGAGAGTCAAGGACAGTTGATCAAGTGTCTTGATCAACTGACTTAACGCACATTTATTTTTTTAATTAATCTCCAATTTTGATATAAAAAAAAATTGTTCAAAAAAGGTTCATAACCATAAATTAATAATTTGGTCCATGTTATTTGGTTTGGTATAGAAATGATGGAGATGGATTGGTGGGGTGGCCGCCCATTAAGTCATGGAGAAAGGAGATTTGCTTCCACCACCACCACAACAACCGTGGTGGTGGTAATGGAACGGTGAGAAATATTAACGGCTGTGGTGGCGGTGGCAGATCAGGTTCATCATCAAACTCAAACCAGTACTACAACAATTCTACATTCGTTAAGGTGAAAATGGAGGGAGTGGGAATAGCAAGAAAGATTGACTTGAGCCTCCACCAATCTTTCCAGACACTCACAGACACCTTGATGGACATGTTTGACAAATGTAAGTACTTCAGAGCGCCACGCATGATTGACGTGTCACTATTTTCGGGTTTAAGTTTTAACAATTTCCACGTGTGGAATTCTTTGCGAAACAGGTCAGATGGATTCGAACAACTATAAGCTCACTTATCAAGACAGAGAGGGAGACTGGCTATTAGCTCAAGATGTTCCTTGGAGGTTCGATTAATCAACTAATTAAACAATATTTATTTAAGTATTATACATTGATGAGATTATTTAACGTATAGGGTTTTGTAACTTCTGTTCAACTAGCCAGTGATTAAGAAACTGATCATGTTTTAATTTTGGCTATGCAGAAGTTTCATCCGGTCGGTGCAGCGTCTGAACTTGCTTAAGAGAAGTGATTAATGGGAGGAGCATTGTCAATGGGTCATCGAGATTTGACTAAACAATTTGCTCTAGCTAGTTTTAATAGGCCCATGAGACCTGTTGCAGATGATTTTTTGAACGACTGCTATGTATAATAATATGGAATTATAATATAGAACATCCTAATCAGTTCAGTTGTATAACATATGAATCACCTAAAATTTCCCCAACAATAGTAAAATTAATGTTTTATATCTTATAGCTAAATGTCCATATAACTTACATATTTTTTCTTATACGAACAATGTTAGAGAAAGGGAATTGAACACGCACTTTAAACTTAAAAAAATATGTTCTAAATCATTTGAGTTACATGACTATGACTAGAGGTGGGCAAACGGGTAGGGGACCTGAGGGTCGGGGCAGGTAATCACAGTTCAGGACGGGTCCAATTTTTTTTAAGGACAAACGGGCCGAGGTGGGTCTAAATCTTTAGACCCACAGGGTCCCGGACCGGCCCGTTTTTATAATGCAATGGATGGCACTGCTGGGGGAATAGAAATTGGGCCTGTTTCTACTTCGATTTCAAACCGGCCCGTTTCTATAATTATACAAAATGAAACCATCCTAGGCTTCCAGAGTCTTCTCCCTTCTTCAATTTCAAATCGAAACCCACCACTCACTCTCTGCAAGTCCAGCAAACTTCTTCATGTCTCTCCTTTCTCTCTCACCCCTAATTCAAACATCACCAAACTTCTTCAGATCCCTCCATTTCTGACCGTGATATGCTCTGTCTCTCCCTTGATTTTATCAAACTCACTCAGATGGACGAAGATGGGGCATGGGTCCAAATCAAAGAAGACGGCCGGACAGCAGAAAGAGAGGGGGGACTGAAAGGGGTGGAGCTGAGAGATTGAGTTGGCAAGAACAGAAGTACTGAACGTGTACAAAGCTTTGCTATGAGCGACACGGAAGTCGTTCACCGAACACGTGACGATGCTGAACGGCGCGGCGACGAAGGTCCGCAAGAGGTTTGAAGAGAGCAGGCACGTGACTTCAGACACGGAGATTCAGAGTCTCCTAGAATAGGCAGGCGAGGCCTCCTATTTCATCAGCAAAATGATCGTCCAGGGCAAGCTCAATTGTCGCTAGGCATTTGGGTTTTGTGTCAAACGAATACATTGTGAAACCCTGAATTTCACTGTTATAATATACTTGGTATTATTGAGATTTTATATTTTTCTGAAAATTAATTATTTAAAATTCGTAGGTCATTCAAGATCACAAATTATATTGTTGAATAGATATGGAGATCACGAACGCAGAGGTAAAAATTGTTTGCGAGCCCGGATTATAATGGTATAATTACGAACGTTTGAAGTTGTATTGTTAAAAAAATTATAAAACATATAAAATAAAAAAAGAAAGGAGAAGAAAAGTTACTGCAGTGCCTAAAAGAAAAGAAGGAAAAAAAAAAAAAGCCACGGGGGTGGCGTGAGAAAAGAAAAGGATAAGAAGGAAAAAGAAACGGGTCCGTACGACCCGTGTGTATTGCCGGCCACCCATCTTCTTTTTTCTTATGCACTCTTTTTATTTTTATTTTTTACTTTTCTAATAGTTGGTTTACATAAGTTAAAAGAGAACAGTCAAGAAACGGAGGAATGCACAAAGAGAAAACAGAACGTGAAAATCGTTACCGATCATTATACAACGCGACAGCACCTTCAATGTTCGTTTGATACTAGTTGAAATTTACCTATCAATTAGTTCTTGGCGTGAAGTTTTTTGTTTCAATATTCGAAAAGAATTGTTATTAGTATTTCAAATGGTCATCTTGCATTCTCGATTCTTCAATAAGAAAGAGCACATTGATAAACTTTTGTTTACCGGGTCAATCCACCGTTTGCAGACAAATATAAAATTTTAAAATACATTATATTAGGGTGCCGTCTTTGTGAGTGAAAAGAAGTCACTCCATTTGCGTGTTGGAAAGATCAAGAGCAAGACAATGAAAACAACTATGGGTCGTTCAGAACAAGGGCAAATGTGTCATTTCAACGCGAGTCACATCCATCTTGCGTGGGCTCCGGTAGGATATCCGTAATAAATGGAAATGCATTCTTTTCGGATTTCTTTCTCTTAATTTTCTAAATTAGAAAATCTGTATTGTTGAAAATTGATCTACCAATTACAAACAGAGACCTACTCCCCAGTAATTGGGCCGATTATTCCAAAGCTTCTTGAATCTGCCACTATTGTGAGTGCCAGCGTTCACCTACTCACCGTCTCACCTACGCTCAAACCATCTTGTTCGAAACGCACCAATGAAAAATTGCCACGTTTCTCACAACTTACACGTGTAAGTCGTTAACTCAAACTGTACGAGGTTGCATCTGTAGACGATCCCCCCCCCGGTGATCAGGTTCTGCGCTCCTCCTATCTTCCCTCCAAGCTTGTCCCTCTCTCTCTCTCTCTCTCTCTCTCTCTCTCTAGGATTCTCCGCCTTCTGTTTATCTCTTACGGCGGTAATGCGCGCGCGGCGGCCAACTATTGTTCCTCACCCAGTCAGCCCCTGCAACTCCAGCAAGGTCAGATTTTGATTTCTTCTTAAATCAAGTATTTTTTGGTGCAAGTTGGATTCTTGGTCATTAATTTCTTCCGTAATAAAGGTGGATTCTTCTTTGAATTTTAGTTTTGAGTTGAGAGTTTTGATTGAACTTTTTCTTGTTATTCGAGCGATATTCTAGTCGAATCTAATTTTACGAGAATGAGAATTCGAACTATGGTACCTAAAGTAGCACACATATTTAGTCAACTTGGCTACGCCCTAGTCTGCAAATTTTCGTTTGACTTTTAAATTGAGTAAATTTCACATACTCAATCCATGAACGTAATTAGTAGAAAATTATCTATCTTTGCTCTTGGTGATGTTGTGCTATCTCTCTATGAATAATGGTGGGAAGAAACAATAAACTGAGTGTTTGAGGCAAGCAAAGTATGTTTGCTGCTTGCATAGATTTTTCTAGGCTTCAAATAGTGTGTAGGGTTTAGGGTGTTAACTTAAAACTCCTTGGATGAGTAAGGAATGTTGAGATCCGCGGCTATAATTCCAGCAGAAAGGCCCCTTTGATTGAGTCTGCGATCACCGTACTTGGATGAATAAACTTCTTTCGGTTTTTGGTCTCCTAAATCGAAGACCCAGAAGCGAAACAAGATGAAGGAATTGCTTGCAATCTAAGTTAGATGTGCAGAATAAGATTACCCCTTGAGGCTGTTATTTCGGTTTCTTACCAGGCAGGGAATGCTCAACCTACACCTTATTAATTCCCCTGTCTTTTTCCATGAGCATTCTGAAAGAAAACTTCAAAACCCTTCCTAATCTCAACTTTTGGATCTTTCAAAAGCTGGTGCATTGTCCCTAACATCAACGTCGTTTCTGAAACAAGTGAGTTCTACTTGGATTCGTGATTGTTGTAGGGATCTTCTAGTTTCTCCATGCCTTTTTTTTTTTTAACTTCCTATATAACAACGTTTCAAAACTATTGATTATATTTTTATTCTATGTCCATATCTGGTAAAAGCAGAGTTGCTCATTTTTCTTGTGCTTTAGTGAGAGTAAGATTAAATTGAAGCGTGACTTTACGATATGCTCCTTACCTTTCTGGCATTTGCCAAAATCCGGTTTGAAATAACTGTCATTGAATTTCTATGCCAAGTGCATTGCTGCATTTTATCAGGATGGCTTCTTATTTTAGCATCTAATCTACATATTAATTTCATGCAGGTGATCCAAGATTGTTTGAGCAATGATCATGTTGGTAGTTAAGTTGGGAAAGACATGTTAAGTATTACCCCTCTTGACCCCTCTTGATAATTATTCTTCGAGGCATGGCAATGCGATCTCCCCACTCTCCTTCCAGAAGAAGACCACCTAAGTTCTTTTGCTTGATACTGTTGATAGTTGCGCCTACATGTATTTTTGGACTCTTCACAAATTACCAGAAAATTTTGTATTTCTTCCGACCACTTTGGGACAAGCCGCCAGCCCCTTTCATACGACTCCCACACTACTACGCTGAAAATGTCACCATGGACCATCTTTGCCGCCTTCATGGCTGGTCCATACGGGATGAACCCCGCCGTGTTTTCGATGGCATCATCTTCAGCAATGAGTTGGACATGCTTGATATTAGGTGGAATGAGCTTTATCCATATGTCACAAAATTGGTAATCTTCGAGGCAAATACCACTTTTACTGGCATCCCGAAACCTCTCTATTTTGCTTCAAATCGTGGCAGATTTGCCTTTGCCGAGGATAAAATCATCCACGATGTCTTTCCTGGTGTAATTGTCCCACGAGGATCACATGCAGACCCCTTTGATCTTGAGAAAAAGCAACGTATAGCTATGAATGCTTTACTTCGGCGTGCTGGGATTTCCAATGGCGATATATTGATAATGTCAGATACTGATGAGATACCAAGCCCACATACTGTGAAATTGCTGCAGTGGTGTGACGGGATTCCACCTAAAATGCATCTCGAGCTGAAGCACTACATGTATTCGTTTGAGTTCCCGGTGGACTATAGTAGCTGGCGGGCGACAGCCCACATCTATGGCCCTCGTACCTTCTATCAGCATTCACGACAGACAAACTACTTATTTTCTGATGCAGGATGGCATTGCAGTTTTTGCTTCCGGCGGATTGAAGATTTTGTGTTTAAGATGACAGCTTACAGCCACGCGGACCGCGTGAAGCGCAGAGAATTTCTTGACCATTCAAGAATTCAGAAACTCATTTGTAGAGGAGATGATCTTTTCGACATGTTACCTGAAGAGTACTCGTTCAAGGAGTTGATCAAGAAGATGGGAGCGATACCCCGTTCGACTTCCGCGGTTCATCTTCCTTCTTACTTGTTAAAGAATGTAGACAAGTTTAGGTTCCTTCTCCCTGGAGGCTGTTTAAGGTCACAGGGTTGAAAGGTTTCGTAGGTAATACTAACTTTAAGCAATTTATTATTCTGATTTTAGCTTTCTACGTGCACCGGTAACTTGCTAGTAAAGGATACACCATTGCAAAGCAATTATTCTGATTTTAGCTTTTATAAGATCTGATTTTGTTTCTAATATTCATGTTTGGGCTGCGGAGGGTCGTTATTTGGTCATCCTTTGTGTTATTTTGGGAGTGCTTTTTTCGTTTTGAATACGCCGGTCTACTCAGTAGAACGGGAAATGAATGGTCATAATTAAATTGATGAATTACTATTTTTACTTGCTTGCCATTCTAATGGATATAAAGCCGGAATATGTCATTGTGTCAACTATTGAAAAGTTTCCCATGAAACAAGTGTAAAGGAAACCCAACTTTGCAAAAGTTATCGTGAAAGCGAAACTATCACAGAATCCATCAAGATGCATGGATGGCTAGATGGAAAAGCAAATTTCAATATCATGGTGTCTGGTACTCGAACATTGGCTCGAGTTATTTTCTCATCTCGTTCTAACATCGTGTGCTTTTCATACTTTTATTGATAACCTTTACATTCCTCAATCTGAAAGTAGAGTATGGAGCATAAAAACATGTTGGATACACACCATGTATCTGCATCATCGCGTAATTGATCGTGTGATAAATTAAAGTCGCGTGATGATAATTGGTTGTATAGTAAAAGTAAAACAAACAATTACGTAATGAGAAAGATAAAAAAAATGATAATTGAACATCATCTTTCGGAAAGAGGTGGCAATTTCTATGTGGTTTGTTTGTCAAATATTTGGACTATAATAGCTGATATGAATCTACAGTCCAAACTTTGTAGTTTGCTTTTGTTTCCGAGGTCAAATAGGTCATCCCGAAACTCAAGCTTTGAAGTCTAAGAGTGCGTTTTGGGGCCACCATTTTTTTTAATTGTTAATTAAGGTGGGCTAAGTTCGTTTTGACTTTTGTTCAACCCTAAATTATCCACTCGCAATCAATTTTTAATGCAATTGGAACTTTGGGAGGACTCACATTTTCTCAATAAGCACTTTCTATGATGTCATGACAAGTAGTTGATCTAACAATTTTCGGTCTTTATAATATCTCATGTTCGACTTGAAGAGATGTGAAATCATATATACTTTTAGTCAGTCAGATTTTAAATTGTAAATTTATTATGAGTGGATTAACAATTCGTCGTAATAGTAAGTTTGTAAATCTCCTGTCATTTTGACTCAATTTCCTAGGGGCTTCAGAACATTATCAAAGATATTAATTGGTGATTTTTACTCAATTTCTTGGAAGCATGTCATTAGGGCATTCTTTTAAAAATCTTCGCTTAGCGTCGTTTAGATGCCTATATGCCCTGTCCTCCGTCCAACTAGCGCCTAACGCTTTTTGAAATTTTTACTTTAGGGAGGCAAACTTTGTTGCGGATACAATAATTAGTATGGGTTTTAAGGTAGATAATTTGTATATCTGGGATAGAACCTTGCCGCATGTGGCAAGAAGAGCACTCTTGTTTGATTATATTGTTACTGATTATGACCGTAGTCACTTTATTTAATTGTATTTCCTTGATGAAAAAAAGTATTTTGACATTTGTAACGAAAAATTGGTATTTTTGAATATTATAATTGGTGGTCTTAGTCTATGGTTGAATTAATTTAAAATCGATGGGTCAGGATCCAACATGTTAAAGCAACCCCGAAGGACACATTTCGGTCACTAACAAATGCTCCAAACACGTTTTCTTATCTTATGCTTTCTGGATAATAACATCGATAGAAACAATCACACATGTGAGAATTTGTTTTGGCCATAGAAAAATGCGAGAACTTAAAGAGAAATAAAAATAAGATAATGAACATGTTTTTACACCGCCCTCAAATGATAGCGATGCTCACCATTCTACTTATTAGTGTTGGATAAATTTAAATTTCAAGATTTGTGTATAATGGTATACATTTGAATAAGTTATCAGGACTGTCGACATGTCACTAATATATTGATTTTATTAGTAAAAAAAACAAATCAGAATGACTTTGTTGATAATCATCGTCAATATGAATATAATATTAGCTTCACGATTGTAATTTATTAAAAAAAATGTTGAATTAATCAAACACTTTATCCGGAGGTCTCACCCACCATTTGGCAACCAAGCAGGCAAAACTTGTAAAAGCACAAAAGCAAACTTCGTTGTCGATTGCTTGAAGAAAAAAGAAAGAAAATAAAATAAAGAGTTGAGCAAAACAAGCACTGTGGCCTGTATGTGGACTGCAGGTACCACCAATGCACTGAAACATCCACGAAAATTCCATCAAAAGTGTCATTTTCCAGGAAAATGCGATTCACCCTTTGCTACTTTTTTCTTCTTTTGTACCAATTTTACCTACACCATTTGCTTAACAAATTGCTCATTTTATGGAAGATAGATATGGATCCAACTTTAATGCTACGTGTCACTCGGTATACTGTAGTAAGAGCTTTATACAAAATTTAATCGTTGTAAATATTTATTAGATATTCATACGTCCAAGGAGTAGATGAAAGACCTAGGACAACTTAAAAATAGACATTAAGAAACCTAGAATATTCGGAGCTCACAGAATAATTGGCGCATAACCGAGTGGTGTAGCGTTCTAAGATTCATACAGCCGACCTCGTTTAGTAAGGTAAAGCTTTTGTTATTGTTGTTGACAACGACATGTTACTTAGAATCAAAGAAATCATGAATCGGTGCGAGAATGAACAATCGTGAAAATGAATGAGTATTCTATTGGTTATCTCATACCTTTGTTTTTTTTTTTTTTAGGCATGACATATCCAAAATCAATATAGGACTCACTCACTTATGCATTCCTCAGTTGGCACAAACTAAATCATTGTAAGTAAACATGTCATGAATAGATTAATATTAAATTATGAAAGTATGTACAAAATATGATCACGGCTTTATCCGAGCTACATGAAAATTGTCACATCACTACTTGTGTACATTCAAGAGTCTATCTATCTCTCATTTACACTACTAATAATATAACAACGTAGTGATATTCCTCTCAACTTCTACAGACAGTTTTAGTATTAACGCAAATTGCCCACTCGTTAGTGTGAAATATTGTTGTGATTAAAAAAGTTTATTGCGTTTATATTGTTTGACGAACTATAAATCCAGAATTTACTTGGAAATCACTCTTCTCTTTTTCTTTTAAAATGGCATGATATTATTGGTTGTTGCAAAGCTTCCCCGTTTGAAACGTCTTTCGACAGAACGAATTGACGTAATTGACGTGTGGTTGGTTGTTAGCCCACGTGAAAATGATTTGACAAAGCCTCTCACTACATATAGCGTTTTTTTTGTATATATCGTATCGTTTTTTATAGACGATAAATTGAGAGTATTTAAAGTACTTATCTTATTTAGCACTTTATTCTATTTATTTATGATTTAGCTATTTCAGTCCACCAGAGCACGCATTCATGTGCTTTTTATCCTTTTTTGTGTGAGCACGTGCCTTTATCTTCTCTCTCATTTTCTTTTATATGTCAACCGTGCAATTAACACACTCATTTTCTACCCCAACACACCTTTGTTAATTTTAGTCACTGATTTTTTTTAATTTATTCGATTTGAATGCCAAAATTAAGAGGAATATGAGAGAAATAAAATAGGTGTGTAGATAACATTACCCTTATTTTTTATGAACTTAACGGTATAGGAATAATTTATATGAAATGAGTTTACCGTCACATAGTATTTTGATTTAATAATGTATTGTCATGTAAAAATAATAGAAATTTATACAAAATATTGGATCAAATATCACAATGACGATGAACCCGTTTTATTTAATACTTGGCAAAAGACTAGCGTCATTCTAGATTTCGACAAGCAACACTTAAGATGACTTCATGAATAATAATTAGATGCTCCTCATAGCACTAATAAATCATGCACTAGTTAATGTTAAACTAAATCAGTTGATTAATGCGCCACTCCATTATTTTTACCGTGAACATGTATGCAACGATCGCCTAAGTTATTATATAACGAGAAAAATGATTTTCACACATATATTTTTTTCCCTTTTGCAAATGTTAGTTTATTTATATTTTTGAGTTTTTTTTTTAATTTATTCAATCAAATTGCTTGACAAAACAAAAAGATACCAAAAGTAAATTAGGGTGTTCCGAAATCACTTATGTATAAACTAAAGTGTGCAAAAATCACTTCTCTATAAACAAAAACACGTGAAAATGCATGCGTCAATAATTTTTTTAGTGAAAAAAAAAAACTGTTTTATACACGGGATAATATAATATAAAAAAAACTGAAAGTGTTATAAATAGGTAAAAAGTTAGAGAGATAACTTTTACTGGTGACATGAGCGAAGCTGGTGTAAAATGTCACACTGTAACTATAACATAAGGGGATGACAAATAAAAGAGGGAGGGATAGATAATGATGTTATTGATCTTTCTTGTTCTTTCTGTATATCTTGATAGTAGTCGGAGCGCTCTATTTATAGAGCTACTCCAGACAAACGTATGATTACATTTTGAAATTTACAGCACACATCTTTTGAACAATCTCCTTCATTTCCAAAGTCCACATTACTGTGTGGGTATTGAAAATCTGTGTGGGCATTCATTAATCTGCCAATATTTTCAAAACTGCCAATGTTTTCAACACTCCCCCTTGGATGCCTACATATCAACATCAGTTGCCTCATTAAAACCTTGCTTGGAAAAACCCAGTGGGAAAAAACCATAGTGAAGGAAAAATAGTACAACTTTACCTGGATTGTTAATATAGTCTTAAGTTTGTTTATGTTGCCTCGTTAAAATCTTGATAGGAAAAACTCAGTGGGAAAAATCCTAATTAAAGGAAAAAGAGTACAACATGCATGTATCATGAATACTTCCCCTGATTCCGCATTCTCCACATTTATCTTATTGGTAAGTCGACGTAATCCGATACTTTGCACTATCTTCTAAAATGTGCATTTTGGTATTTGGTGAACAAGTCTGCTAGATTTTCATTGGAACAGATTTTTCTGACTTCAATAACTTTCGCCTTCCGAAGCTTATGTGCACTGAAAAACTTTGGAGATATGTGTTTAGTCTTATCACCCTTGAATCA